AGTAGTACTAGTTCTTTTAAATATAAGATAGTATATACTTAATTCTTTACTAATAATAAACTAATTTAATTCTAAAGCCTCTTATTTTTTGATTACTAATTAATAATACTAAGCCCGTATTCTTCTATTATTTTACTTTAGGGGCATGTTTCAATAATATAATAGGAGTTATTAATTCTATAAGTACTTGCCTCTACTAGATTTCTTCCTAATTTCCAAATTAATTATCTCTAGAATAATACCTGGACTTTCTTAGCCTAATTTAACTACTTATAAAACGCTACTAAAGAATTCAGCCCATTTAAATACTTCCCCAAAGAAACTATAAATCCGACTCGAACTATTACCTTATTATCTTCCCCTACTACTAACTTATCTTTAAAGAAAGATCTGCCTACTAGAGAAGTAGTAGGAATCATAATCGGGATTCTTGCCATATTTAGTCTAGTAGGGTTACTAATATATATATATACAGGCGGTAGAAAGTAACGGGAGAAATTCTACGAAATTCCGAAGTTCCCTTATAAGCAGGGCAGAGTAGCTATATTCTATTAACTCCCGGAATAAGTAAAGCGAAGTATCCCAATATATAGAAGGCGGATTTTGTAACTAGAGATACTAATAATCTCGGCGGAAATAGGGTTTCTAATATTTAAGATATATATAAATAGCTAGAAACGAAGCCAGAGAGCGGTATAAGTCCTCTAATTAATAAACGGATAATAGTAATATAGCCAATAATAAGTATAAGGGATCTATTTATCTCATATAGGCAATTAAGTCAGGGAATAGTCCCGATAGTATATGAAATAAATAGTTCCGGATCTTTAAGTCCGATATATATAGAGATATATAGAATAGAGAATTAGTATAAACTAAGGTTTGTATTTTATAGTTTCTTATATCTAGTAAATATAATTAGAATATAATTAGATAATAAGACTACTAACTCAAATAATCTAGACCTTACTACTAAGGTAAAAGAGTAGGGCCATATGAAATGCCTAATTTATTACCAAGTACGGCAATACCGCCTATAAGCCCCGGGTCCCTTTACGGATAGTAAAAGCGGATATAGATAAGGCAAGAAAAATAGAGGTTTATTATAAGTATATTATAGAGAATTCCAGTTTTAGGCACTTAAATTTAAATACTGCCTAGGACTTTAGCTTAATATATAAAATTGAATATACCAAGTATATTATGCCTATATAATCTCCCTTTTCCTTAATTTATTAAAGTCAAATAAAAAAGCAAGGCTTTAATCTAATTTTAACTAGTACTAAAACTTCTTTCTATAACCTCTTCTTATTCCAAGTACCTCTTATCTAGAAATGCCTATATATGACTGGGTTTAGCCAATACTCTATTAAGTATAATCTTTATCTTCTCTAAGATCTAGTAATTATATACTAGATATAATAAGGATATATTACCTATATATATACTATTAATAATAATTATTATCTTAGCAGTATTAGACTAGTGCCTACCTTGAGTAATATAGACGCTAATAAGGGTAGTAATAAGGCCGACAAGCGAGTGGAGTAATCCAGGCCTTTTAATTACTCGGTTAGTTCAAATTAATTAGTAGTACTAGAAAGAAACTTATAAAAATATATATTAAACTAACCAAATGGCATTTAGCTACTAAATCTACTATAGATATCCCGTTCCAAGGCTTCCAATTCCGTAATAGACCACTACTATAATAAAAACTAATACCCGCTTAATTATATCTTGAATAACTTATCTAGTATTACTATTTGCAAGCGTCTTCGAGGTTTTGAGAGAAGTAAACATACTAGGAAATACGATATATCTAGCTAGTATAAGCTATAAGAAGAGTCTAGCCAGGAAGTTGTCCCGTAATAGTACTTCATTTTCTTCTACTAATTAGGCTATATAGGGAGTATATTCTGTATCTTTATTTTTATTAAAGGATCCTAGTATAATTCTCGTTTGAATATAGGAGTTAACTATACGTATATTATCTGAGGCGCTTATAATTACTAGTAATTAATTAATTGAGGGCTATAGTACGTCCTTTGTATTTTCTTAATAGTACTATTTCAGGCTAAGAACTGATTTTGGCCACCTTATTAATTATACTTAAAGGATAGGATCTGTTTTCGCCTCTTACTTGGATCCGATTTAGGCTCCGCTTCTAGACTCCTTAGGGGCCATATAATATAGTACTAGGTTACAAATACTATCTAGTTTATTTTCTATTATGTCCTTATAATAATTCGTTCTCGATTATACTTGGTAGACTTACCTGAGACAGACTTTCCCAGAGCTCGACTTCTATTAATATTTGTCCTTTATCCTTATTAGTTACTTTATTTTTGTTAATATGAGTACTATAAATACTCGCACTATTCGAAAAAGGTAGCAGCAGATTAGAAAAGGGCCCTATCCTGGTCTAATAACCTAGTATAAAGGCCTGCTCCAGGGGAAAATGCCCCGTATATTTTACGTATTTCGGAATCTCCCTGCTAAACTCCAGAACATGATCTAGTAATACTCTCTCCCAGGTCCCCGTATTATTCGGATAGCTTATATCGAGAGGCAAGACGACAAAAAAGGTCTATTTATATTTAGAGACGCTTGTTCCCCTATAGTGCTTTACGTCTATAAAAGTTCTCGATAAGAAGCTCTTATTTTTTATAAGCCTCTATCCCAATCCGTCCCTATAGATAATATATTCGAATACGACTCTGAATTGGAATGTAATACTATAGATAATAACTAATCTCAAGTTAGCGAAAGCAGAATACAGAGATTACCGTCAATTTACTTTGACCCGACTCTCGATATAATCTATCTTATAATGCCTTACTTCCAGAAAGGACCTTTATACCTAGACTTTACTAGAAGCTTTCCTGATATAAAGAAAATTCAGTCTCTAGCTATAGAGTATTATTATGGCTTATATATAATGAATGAACTTTATTATATAGTACTTTACTCTAAAGGAAACCTTAAGGAAATAATACTTGCCGTTAGACCGCATATATATCTATTCTATAATCGCCTAGATAGAAGGAATATTAAGTTTATTGAGCCAAAATATAATACGCTTCCTATAGGGATATATGAGCCACAGTTTCCTTGGCAGAAATAGAAAGGTATTAAGGATGACTTGAGAGAATAATTTGAGATATTCCCAAGTAGACCACACTTTCGAGTTATGGAAATTGAGGTCGTCTGGGACCACTAAGATATCTTAATAAGCCTCTTTGGAAGGATCCCTTGGATTCTTGAATACTATAACTCGTGGGAGTCTTATATTTGCTTTATAGTTCGTATACTATTTTACCTAGAAATCCGTAAATAATTATTTAAACACAGTTATTTCTATAGAATCTACTCATATACTTAAATACACGTACTCTTTAGAATGAGAATAAATCTTATGGCACAGGTAATGTCTATCCCTGCGTACCTAAAAACCCTGTATACCGAAAAAAATAATAGGTACTTTGACTTTAAGTATCTTAAAATCTATACACACTTTAATATCTCTTATAATTTTTTATAAGTTATATTCCGTGGCCACTCCCGGGTACTCTGAATCCCTCTGACTAGAAAATCATATTCGCATCATCGCTCTTGTACTTAATTTATAGACAGTCTCCGTTTATAAAACAATAGAGTTTCTTTACTATAGCTCTACTATCGAGCTCTTATTACTTCTAATACTTATAAAAAGGTTATACCTGAGCTTTATAGCCTCGCTACTATACTAGAAATCGTTATTAGCCTTGTGGCTGCTATGGCGTGCAAATTCATACAAGGTCGCTATACAGGTCGGAACAAAGCAACTGACGATTTTGGTTAGTGCGAAATAACCCCGCACGTCCCATAATATTTACGCCGTAATTTTATTTACGAATCCTCAGGCATAAAGGCCAACGGGTGGCTGGAGGTACTGTGGTGCCTGGTGCGCCACATCCAGCTTAGTAATGACTTGAATGCCTGGCGTAGTCCAAAGAAAACATCACAAAATGCGAGAACGAAATTTTTGAAAGCCACAGAGCAAGACAGCCTCAAAACAATCTGACCTGTTGTCACAATGCCTCTACGGATTGATGCGCTTCTCCCAGTGTTGCGTTGATGCTGTGACTACAGGGAGAAAAGAACACGACACCACAAGAGCAAGCTGCACAACACAACCTGTTCGATCACGGCGGCGGCAGCATAGCGGCATAGTATTGCCCTATGAAGTGTAACGATCGAGCCTAAAACACTAATGCCTCCTCAGCTACACACACATATAGCCACAGATAGGCTTAGGGTCGGCTCATCGCCCCCCGACTACGTTTGCAAGATCCAACGACGGCGAATCCTCGAATAGAACATTATTACCTTTCTCGCTGATTAACGACCCAGACAAACAGCACGCTACACTTGGTGCAATAATACACAGAACAGAGAGATGGTCCCTGTCGCCCCTTTATTGAGAAGGAGTAGTGACGGTTCGACACGCGACAAGGTCTGCGCAGATCACGAGAGAGCTTTCATCCTCAGTAATTCGACGGTTTGAAACGGGTGGAACCTTACACCTCATACGGCTACGCTACGCACTATACTCTGCTACTGCGAGAGAACTCTTCACACACAACACACTGCTACATAGGAACTCAGCACGGAGACAGAGGGTGTAGGACTCCAGGAAGCGCCGGAAGGGTCGGATTAATATGCTGGGGGGAGACTGAAGGTATGAGGACACAAGATGGACAGCAGCAGCGGCTACCAATGAGCCACACAAGGAAAGGACACAAGCAAAGCACTTCTTGATACGGATAAACATTCCTGTATACCATATTAATAGCTCTCACGCTCCATAATGCACGAATTACGCCCAGTTTAACAGCTATTTCCAGTCTTTCGCTCGCCCCTCCATGACACTTGTATGGAGCGCTGCTGCGATGCCCCTACTCTCAAGACGCAACACGCCTTGTTCTACAAGCGACGCATAAAAGCCGCGAGCGACCTCAACGCACACTCGATCTACTAACGGCCACAAGCATCCGATCACGTGTGGAAAGCCTGCCACTCCGCATATTCTTTATTCCTCGCCCACGTTCAGATCTGAGGCCGTGCCACTGTTTACCGATCCAGATCTCTGCGTCAGCCGCAGACAGGCTTAGAAGACGTATCGTACGAATGCCAGTCGGCGATACGATAATGGCGTCGCTGCGTAGTTGACTTACATTGACAATAATAACGTTGCCACCGATAGTACAGGCTTGTATTGCCTCGGTGCTTTGGGCTGCCATAAACAACTCTTGGCCAGGTACGCCTTGAATTGACTTGATACATAGCTCGAGCTCTGCAGCGGCAGTACGACGCCGCTGCGCAGTAAGAAGTCGATCTGATTTGGCACTCGAATGGCCAGAACGAGCGTTAATAGTGTCGCGGAGAGCCTTAAACTTTGAAGCCAGCTCCGGATGAGCCTTCATCAAGGACGATAGATCACTCCAGTTGTCGATCATCTGGCCCAAAATGACGGCGCGACCCTTTTCTAGGTACTGGAGCGCGGTTTCTAGATCTCGCGCTTGAAGAAGCACTCCGCAGGCGTCGGCAGCAATGCCCGCAAATCTTGACACAATATGTTGTCTGTCGTTGCGATCAAGAGGCCGGGCATTGACAATTGGGAGGAAATCTGTGACTGAAACTGCGATTTCTGCAGCCTCGCTGTACTGTTTTAAATGGAATAGCAGTTTGAGGCATCGAGTGAACGGTGCGGAGCTGTTGGAGGTCCAAGAACGGCCGAAAACTCGATTTGCCTCCTCGAGGTCGGCCATGTCTCCCGTCCGCTTGTACCGCCTCTGAAGCTTGCTGCCAAGGTTGTTCAAGTGGCCTGCCAGTGACAGCCTCGTTCCCAGCCTCGTTCTCCTAAGCCGCCGCGGCTGGGATTGGAGAGATCAATAGAGACTCTCGCAGCCCATGCACTTCCCATGCACTTGTCGACCACAGTAGCTGTAGTTCTGTAGTTGTCTTGCCAGTTGTAATGCAGCTAATCGTGATCGTCTTGCCGCAGTATGGATTGTCGTTGGATTCATTACTTATTAGACCGTGAGGCAGGGCGACCACATTTTGGATATCTGCATCACCGACAAATCCGCATACTCCCGGACAAGCAGTGAAATAGGTGATGTCGCCTTCGCAGGGGCTCCAACGAGCATTCGCCGCTGGAGGAGGAGGGGGAGAGGAGGTACCGCCCGGCGGAAGAAGTCGCGGGAACTGATTGGGTGTATGCTGAGGCCGTTTTGTATCTTATGACGTTTGTGACGGCGGGAGAGCTCGGACTTCGACTCTCGAGAGGAGCAATATACACCGAAGCGGAAGTAGTAGAGCAAGTCGAGGAAATAGGACGGAAGACGGAGGAAGACGAAAACGTGCTCGTGCCCTGGAAGAATTTGGCTAGAAATCTCTGCGAATAAAGAAGATGAAAGTATAGGACGGACAAATCCTTCTGGAACCCAAATTATTGTCGTGATATCAATTAATCATCTCTGTCAGATAATTATAATCGATGACCCAAACAACATCCTGTCGCTCGTGGTGGTGTTGGAGCTGTTGGCGATAGGGGTGCGCGATGCAGGAAGAGGTGAGAAGGGCAATGAGGATAAGCGTTGTGGGGCTTTATCATATTCGGGAATATGCTGACAATTAACCAGCCAGAAGGTAACGAAATGACCACCGTAGATCTGTTGTCGATGATCTTTATGACTGTGAATAATAAACATATATCATGTCAATTATCTAATTCTCGCGGCCTTGCAATTTCACAACAGCAGATATCTACCTTTATGGCCGCCTGGCGTGTTCTGTTCCCTTGCAGCGAAGAGACACCGAAAGTGACTTGTTACTGCATACGAAGTACTATAGAAGCCCGTCCATTCCACTCCGCTTCATTTTTGGCGCAGGCAGGAATTGGCCTTCGTCACTTCAACTACTCCTAACTACATACAACCAGCTTTGTCGAAGGCGTTGAGCAAAGCAGTATTCCTATGAGCGAATTCAAGCAGCCATCCCTCCATACTCCACAGTTCCCTTTTGCGCTTTGGGTCGGACCACCCTCTTTCTATAAGGGTTTCCAAAAGGTATTTCGCAAAGTGTTGGCAGTTTCGCTCCGAAAGACTGTAAATCCAACCAGTTTGCTTTAGTATACGGTCGTCGAGATCAAATTTCTCCAGAAACTTTCGCACCCGGTCGCGGTCGCGTCTGTCTTTGACGGAAACCCACTCCTTTTCCAAGTATCGTTGGAACCATTCGGTTAGGATTATGGGAACTAATAATAAGGTGAGCGGACTTGATATATGCGGGAATATAGGCCAGGATTGCTTACCTGTGAGCTCCAACTCCTCCTGACAGAAGTAAAGGGTGTCACCACTGTATTTTTGATGTTTGCGAAAGTCTCCCTCTGGTATATCGCGCTCCCATTTCTTCCCAATAGCCCAGATCCGTGATATTACCAGATTCTTATTCGAGGAATTTTCATAGTCCAGGCTGTATATCTTGGAGTGCGCATACTGAGGTGGTTTAGTGTTCAGCTGCTAACACATTGCATACGCAAGACACTTACTCCTTAATCATCCACAGCACGCGTATAGAACCCCCAGTGCGCGAATCTCCTTTTCGCCCTATCCCCGCACCATGCGAATGGTTTGAAAGGGTTGACGCTAATGCCAACTTGGTGTGCCTGGCGCTGACGAGTGCCTGTTATCTGGGATCCTTTGCGTGTCTCATTGCCCTTCGTATCAGTATAGTACGCACTTAAGGTTTCAGGGTCGAGATAGCAATCTAGGCGCCTGTCCGCTCGTTCCCAGTTAGGCGCTACAAGAATTGCTGTCACGATTCTTGTCCAAAGGTGGTCTGGCAAAATCGATCTTTGAGTCAGCACATTGTTTCGAAAGCGTTTTCGAAAGCGTAGGAGTGTCGATGAACGTGAAGACTCAAGAAGGCCCAGATAACTATGTAGGAGGCGCTCATTTAGGTGCAGTTCGTCTGGAAGGCGCGGACGAGTGAGAAGGGTGAAGGCGCGGCGCCCGTCTGGAAGGCACAGACGAGTGAGACGGTTGAAGGCGAGGGCAGCCCTGGCGCTGGCAGCGCTGGCGAGGGCGGTGACGGCGTTGGCGAGGGCGGTGACGGTGCTGACGCTGGCGATGACGGCGCTGGCGATGACGGTGCTGGCGAGGGCGGCGCTGATGCGGGGCGGTTTTTCAGACAAATGATCCATGCGAGAGAAGGATGCAAGAAAGAGATAGCTTCAAGGGTAGGAGTGAGTGTGTGGCAGAAGAGATCGAAGTGAAGAAATGGCTTGTGCTGACGATCGAGCCTAGCCTTGCCGAGCCTAGAAAGGCTCGCGAGGCAACACCTAGCCCAATAGAAATTTTGGTGAGTCTAGGGCGGTAAGTAGTTGGGTGGCAGAATTTATTAGGCGAGGAACACCAAAAAGTCTCCTCTCTTTAAGGTCTTATACCATAGTGAAACTATCTTTAAATATATATTAATATCTTTATAAATACTATAAGCTACTAAATTAGTATATATTTTTTCTTCTTGAATTTTTTAAAGCAAGTTTAGGTAAGTTAGCTATATTTTATATTGGGGTGTTGGTAGGTGTGGGTGTTGCCCCGTGAGGCCTTCTAGTACATTTCCAAGAATTTAACCTTACAGATAGGGAGAGCCAAATCATCTGGGCCTCATTTCATTACTATAAAATTAAAAGCCCTATAGGGAGCCTTTTTGTGCGACTGTAAACTATGAGTAAGCTGCATGCTGCAAGGCGAACACGTAGCCACCAGTACAGGCTGACAGCGCCTTGCATGGCACCTGAGCCACGCTGTCGGAGGATCTTTATTAAGAAGTCGGTTATGCTGATGTTTTTCACCACTTTTTGTCACCTTTTTGTCGTACCATCATGAAACTAAAGAGATTCAAAACACCTTCTAAAGAAGACTTAGCAAAAGCATCCATAGCATGCGTTCGAACCATTCTGCCACTCCATTGGGCAGCTTGGGAAACCAGTGCTGAGCCAATGAGAGCCATTGGACATGCCACAAGCCAGGAAGAACGTGACGAAGTGATCAAAGCATGGAAAGAAATGACCCTCAATCAACTATCTAACGTCGAACTCATCGTACATTGCCTATCGATCCTATAACAGAGAATCTTGTCTAATCGCTATCATGCTAGGGCGCCATCCTGTCGGCCGTTATTGTCGGCGCGTTTTCCTGGCCCATACTACCTACAACCTCCACGACACTAGCAATAATCCAGGGCATGTGGTTCTCAAGCCTGTCGTTTGCCGTAGCGGCCGTCGCTATAGCCCTCCACCAGAGCGTGTTCCTCGCAAGAGTCGCATGCATGCCCCGATTCAACGTAATAATTGTGGAGCTTTTAACCTACGATTCATACGATGGATTGCGCCAACCCCGGCAGGAACAGGTGCTTATCTGGCTGCTCGCAGTCGGACTGCTTGAATGGAGCATCGGCTTATGGATTGGTGGATATGTTGTGTTCCTGTGGGACGTAACAAAGATGAGGCAGCAGGACCAATAGTCTTTGGATGTCATGGTAAGGTAATCAAGATTCAAGCCGGTCGGGAATGCTAACTTTGAATGAATAGGTAGCTAGTCTTACTGCTGTGGCGTTGATCGGTGCAGTTATCTCGTACCTATTCAGCATAATTCACCTATGGCAAAGGGTGTGGAAGTACAATGCTTTTAAGGAGTGATGAAACTTATCGAGCTGTTGGAATCCGGAGAAGGTGGGATAATGCACAGACTTGGGGATCGAGTAGTGGGCTGATAAGGATTGCGTCAGTGGAGGTTGGAGACGCCATAGGTTAGAGCTATACTTTCGATAATGAATAACGAAGCTAAAGTTCGCCGATCAACTACGTCACTCGTCCTAGGGAAGGCGAAGGTGATGAGCTTTGGGGACATCGAGGTGGCACGAGCAGCGCGCGCTGCGCAGGATGTCATCAAGGGCAAGGGAAAACGTGGTCGGAAAGTTGGAGATTGGAAGAAGAAGTGATAGTAGCATGCTTGATTGTAGAAGCTGGCTGTCTAGGTGTGCTTATATAGACTGCAGCTGCCTACGTAGGCAGCCACACGTGATCTGGGATCCAACTCGGAAGCGTAAGAGTGCTGCGCTAGAGCCAGATGAGCCAGAGCCAGATGAGTTAGAGGCAGACTTAGAGCCAGAAGTGGCGCGGATGACCGATGCGCCAGTGCCATGGAGGGCACCAGTTGCACAGATGATATGAGACTGTTGCATGAAAGAAGAATCTTAGAGAACCGTTTCTCATTTGCTTTAGTTCGGATTTGGTTTATCGAGGCAGGAAATCGGATAGAATTAATATTCGTAGCATTCTCGGCGCAATAGAAGGTGGAGTTATGGTTCGTCTGCAAGTCATTAGCAAACAGTCTTTTGTGTCAAGGCCAGATCGTCTAACTCAAGTGTTTGACACCCGGTTCGCAACAGCGCCTTGAGAAACACTTTTATAAACACCTCTGAATCTCTCTATCCCTCTCCGTTACCAAATCGTTCCACCTCTAACGATCCTGCGTACCTTTCTTAACCTGACAACATCTCGGTACTACGAGGACCTTCTTCCCTGTGTATTCTACCAGGCCTATTTGAAACAAGAGGACCTTGTTGGCGAATGCTCCTTTGTCATTATCCACTTCATTAATACTAATTGCAAGCACTTCTGGGTTCGGATCGTTAGCAGGAACGAGGTAATCGAATATAACTCCGTAGTAGTCGATATAGCTAGAGTAACAAGCAATAGTCAGGTACCAGAGAACAGTATACAAAGTTGTTAGTAATACCGACTTACTCTAATAGTCTTCTTTACTCTATTGCCCATACCAAATACTCATCTCGCACAGCCGGAATACCGTTAGCCTCCTTGAACCCCCCTTTACCATATAATGCCCGATATATAAGGCTCGTGAGCTCTAACCCTCCCGGCTATAGAAAACGTATAATCTCATACTATAATGTCTTCGGAAGAAGCTTCTAGATCGACTCTAATAACCCTTGTATCTGAATTCTTAAGGGCCTAGTAGGCGGTAGAGGATGGAGATAATAATGCGAGTTATGTATATAGGGGGAAATAAAAAGCTCAAGAGCCATTAAGATCTGCGGGTCGCCTCTCAGTTGAGAGCTGAAGCAGGAGTCGTAATAAGGTCTAAAACGCAGATAGGCAGAGCTAAAAATTTAAGCTTCCGGGAACCAATCATATTCCTTTTTCAGTACGTAACGGATTCGTATAAGCAAATGCGTTATTAATACAGGGCAGCTATAAGGCCAACAGGATCGCTATTAACAAATACCTTTTACTAGATATATATTATTACTATTATAATTAGTACGCATTATATGCAAGGTAAGTCTAGTAGTTACTACTATATAAGGACCCCTTATTAAGCAAAAGTTAGGTTATATACTTTAACTACGACATTTTACTCCTATAGTTATATCAAGAGCCGAAATATACTAACCACTACTTGCCTGACTCCTGCAACGTATATAAAAACCTATAAGGAAGCAGAGGACCCAAATAACTGCAGTAATACGGCCTGTAATATGCCACCCTCCTTCTAAAATAATCCATAATGGTATTATCTTCGAGACTATATTTAATACCGTAATTCGATTCGCAAAGCAGGAAACTTGTACCAGTTAGCAGAGAAGCGGTTAGTATGGTTTACTCGAATATAATATTAGCTGCCATTATATTCTAAGTATCCTTGGGAACGTTTTATAGCTATTCTGGGGTCAAAGAAAATAGATCTAAGGTCGCCTTATCTAGGGACTCTCCCTACTATGTTTTATCGAGTTTAGTATTAAGATTTATTTACTATCTTCGAAAATAACGTCTTTGAGTCTAATAGCCACTACTATATAGTATATAGCTATTAGCTCAATCGCCAGAAAGTAAATAGATACTTAAATTGGCAAGATCGGTCTATTAAACCTAGCCTATTTATCTCGGTCTTTAATAATAAAGGTACGTATATATAAACCCTTGAGACAAAGACTAGTATTCTGAGATTATTATTAGCTAATGCTCTAAAACGTATTTAATACTATTAAAGCATTATTATTAAAGGGTATTAATGGCGCAAATATTATTGCAATTATTAACTCTAATATACCTAGAGATTAATTTCAAGGAGAAAACAGTATATCTCCCTGTCTGGACGGATAAGAGAGATACGGTATTTGTCTCTATATCGGATTTACGATACTACTTGCAAATTGATTTTGTAACCAGCGATAGTTCAGAGTGGCTGGCGTTGGATTATATACCCGGATAGCGAATTGCGGGTATCCAGCGTTTCAATTGATCTAAGTATGAGAATACTAAATTGGAGAGTTCGAGAGAGAAAGTTATAAACCTATCATCACAGCTTTTGCTTCCACAGTTGCCCTGATCTTCTCATGCTTAGCCAACAATTTATTCCGTGCCTCGTCATAAAATAACTTTTCCTTCTCAGAAATCTTTCTGGGACCACCATAGCCAACATCGTGCCAAGTTTCCCAGAACTCAATCAGATCCCAGGCTATACCGTCTTCTATCACATCTTGCCACTCCTTGAATTTTCGTAGTCTAGGAAGAAGTCGATATCTGCAAGCCACCAATCGTACAAAACAGCCTCAATTCCGTGATCCAATTCACAAAAGAAGTCGAAGTCAATAGTTTCAGAATATTCATCTGCATATTTGAGCCTCACCACATCATCGTCAACAGTCTTCGTCCACACACAATCATAGAAAAGCTGGTGGGAAATCCAGTCAAGCGGAGCTCTAGCTCTAAAGTTTCGTGCAAAACAAGCTAGGTAAACGCCAACTTCCCAGGGCCCATACCCACGTCTAGCATACTGGAGATCACTCGCAATACGGCATCGTAATTCTGCAGTCGATAGTGGTTAAAGCTCAGGGTCACCTGGACAAAATTGCTCCCCCTGAAGCCCACGATTCATCAAGGTTTGCAGGGAGACCGTGTGTAAGACATACGTCTCGGGTATAGCCCATTCAAAAACAAACTCGTGATAGAATACGTTTGGTTCTGGGAGTTCGCGTTCCTCCGCTAAGGATCTTGTAGCGTGGATTCGAGCAGGTGTCCCGTGTATGATAGCTGGGACTTCAATAAAAGTAATCCAAATATCTGCTAGAGACTCGCCATCCTTATAGTGCTTCTCAAAAGCACGCTTCACCGTGTCGACGATACGATCACTGACTGACACTAAGGCTATAGGCTCTCGATTGTCTCTGTTCGCATGCTTTCGAAACTCATTGCAGAGGGCTGTTCGGGATAATGGATCGCCTTTTGGTGCTTTAGCGGAGGCAAGTTGCCCAGCACTGCCTTTAGAGTAGACTCGAGTGTATATCTTGCGATTAGCCATGGTTCGGGAGTGCAGTAGGCATGTTACGAGTAATCCAGCTTAGCCGTCGCAAGAATGCAGAGCCTATTCCTACTGTTCAAAGATTTCGTTCAGGATTTTCGTGCCTGAGACAATTATGCCAGGCATTGTAATGATTACTAAGCTGGAGGTGGCGCACCACACACCAGGCACTACTCCAGCCACAGCTGGACTTTATGCCTAAGGCTTCTTAAATCAAATTACAGCGTAAATATTATGGGACGTGCGGGGTTGTTTCGCACTAAGCCAAAATTGTCAGCTGAGGTACTGATCCGCGTGGCAACCTTGCTTGAATTTTGCCTGCCATAGTACCACATGGCTAATAACGATTTCCTACATAGTATTAAGGCCCTAGATCTCGGATAAGACTCTTTTAGAAGTACTAGGGATAGTATAAGCTCGGTGGTGGAGCTATAGTAAAGGAACGCTATTATGCTATAAACGAGATCTGGGCCGCTTCGCTAAAATTAAAGACTGGCCCCGAAGCTTGCATAGGGCCGCCAGGCTTTAATTTTGCCCTGATCTCGATTCGAGATTAAGAGGGTACGTGACTTCCTTATAATAAAGCTCTCTTATTACTTATAGGCTTTCTAAGCCTTATACTTACTTATAAAGCTCTCTCTCTCTCTTTATAAACTGCCATACTTTTTAATTATATTTATAAAGCTCTCCCTTCTCTTTTATAAGCCCTTCCAAGGCTCACTTCTATTTGCAAAGCTATTTACCCCTCTTTATGGGCCATTCTAAGCCTTACTCTTATTCGTAAAGCTCCTTACTTCTCTTTGCGAACTGCTAGAGCCTTTAATTATACCCGCAAAGCTCTTTCTTCTCTTTTATAAGCCCTTTTAAGCTCTCTTTCCTACCTATAAAACCTTCTCCTTATTAAATATAGCCATATTGCGCTCGCAAGCTCGTACTAATATAACGTATAAGCGTAAAGAAAATTAGTTTTTAAGAGCTTTTATTTAAATATTTAGCTTTTTGCTTTATATATCGGGCCCAGTTTACTTTTTTATTCCGCTCCCGGTATATATTATATATAAAGAACCGGCCAAAATCTATAAGAGGCTTTTTTTGATTACAAGAGGAGTAGTATTAATCTTATAGGCTCTCTTGCGGGCTCTCTTGCGAACTCTCCCAAGCCTCACTCCTATTTGCAGAGCTCTCCCTTCCCTCTTATAAACCCTTCCAAGCCTTACTCCTACTTATACCTTTACTTATAGGGCTTTCCCTTCCCTCCCAAGTATTACTTATACCCGTAAAGCTCCCTTCCTCTTACGGGCCTTCTCAAGCCTTACTTGCCCCCGCAAGCCCGTTACTACCCGTACTCTTACCCGTAGCTCCCTTCCAAGCCTCACTCTCACCCGCAAAGCTCTCCCTTTCTACTTGCAAGCCCTCCCAAGCCTTACTCCTATTCGCAAAGCTCCCTCTTCCCTCTTGCGGGCCTCCCCAAGCCTCACTCCTACTTACAGGGCTCTTTCTTCCCTTTTACGGGCCCGTAAAGCTCTCTCTCTCGCCCGTAAAGCTTCCTTTCTCGTCCGTTAAGCCCTCCCAAGCCTCACTTGCCCTGGAATTAAAGCTAATAATCATTGCAATATTTGTATTCATCTATATATAACTCCGCTTGCCTCTCTCTTAGCTTGCAAGCCTGCCTCTCCACTGGTTCACAAGCCTGTCCTTTAGCCTGCCCCTCCCTCTCTTCCCTCTCTCTCCTCTCCCTCTCTTCCCTCTCTACCCACTCTGCCCGCTTCTCTCTATCCCTCTTCATTTTCCTCCTTGCCTTATCCCTCTCTTTTAAACTCTTATCTGCCCTCTACCTCTCCTTTAATCTCTCCTCCTACTATGCCTCAAACTCTCCTTCAGGCTATCCCCTTTTTAAATAATATTCTCGTGATAACCCCTTCCTCTCTCCCTCCCAAACCCTCCTCTTTGCCTTCCTATCCTCACGCCGCTACTGCCGGTCCTGAAGCTCCTGCTCCTCCTCTTGGGTCGGCTCCCGTATATAATCATCGACCGTAATTGCCCGGTACCCTGCCTACCCCCTCTTCTTCTTCCCGGTAGCCTGCTGCCGGAGCTAGATATGATTTGCGAGAGCGGCGTAGGCGGGAGGAGGGTTTAGATTCTGAGTGCGAGATCGATGCCGATTCGATTTAGTATTCCGGTGCCGGCAGGGTTTGCAAGTAAGAAAGCGGCCGAGATTACGGAGTTGCAAGTAGCTAGAGTAACGGGTTTGCGGGCCTAGAAGAGTTAGCCTGCCCCTAAATAGGCCCGTTAACTTACCTATAGGCTCTTCTCCCTCTTGCTCTCCCTCTCTCTCTCATTCTTCTTGAATCGTCATATAGTATAGGGCCTATTGCTTAAGGTACGAAGTATATATTACGGTCCGCTAGCTATTCTTTAGGGGGAACTAGAAGATTAATCAAGGGCAGTAATACCCGGGGTAGTATAATTGATTTAATTCAGGTTAAATTAATTAAGATTAAGATATTATAATTATGAACCAAAGTAAAGCATAAGTAAGTAAAATGCGAGTAAAGGCTATACAGGTTTAGTATTCCTGTATGGGCCTTTACGTAATAGTATAGGAATCTATAGATTATAACTCAATGTTATATAGACGAGTTTAGGGCCGCTTTGCTAAAATTATTACTAGCGGCCCTATATAAGCTCTGGGGCTAGTAATAATTTTGCCCTAAACTTGTCCCGAATAAGTTTGGAATATAATAAAGGCTTTTAGCTAAGTATATAAATTAGGTATAGACTCTTTATAGATTCTTTATAAATAGTATAAGAAGGAAAATAGCCCGTAAGTATATAAAATTACCCGTAAGTAAGTTAAAAGCTAAGTAAGACCTTATAATATTTCTGGGTATATTATATTACCTATATAGTCTATATTAGAGAGTAAAAGAATATAAAGCCCTGCCTATAAGATTACCTATAAGGCCGCTATATAGAACTGGCCATAAAAAAAGACCGGTAATTATAAATCCACTTCTATTATCTCAAATAACTAGCCTTATAACTTATTAATAGTTATTATAAAGAATAAAGCAAATAGAAACTACTTATAGGAAAGCGTAAAAGATAGTTACTAATCTATTAACTAGAGCTTAATCCGTAGAATTATCTGTAATTAGCTATTAAAGTCACTACCTAGTAGCTATATGCGAATTAAGAACCTCCCAAAGCTATAAATTAATATCTATAACCTGTTATAAAGCCCTTCCTGCAAATAGAGATTCCATAAAAGTATTACAGGTATATTAATCTTGAGTTATAGTTTGGAAAGAAGTAAATCCGGTAAATAGATACTTTATAAGATCTCTAGAAATAATTCTGCAATTTCAGGATTTGCCTTATTTATATTAGCTAAATCTACTATAAAATATGTCTGTTTCTGGCTAGGAAGTATATCCAGGATTATTTAGTTAAGCTTATAGATTATATTATTTAGGGTTAATAGGATTACTCGTCTACTAAAGGCCTAGTAATTATACGGGGCCCATAAGAGTTATTCTTATGGGTAAACGTAATTAATTAGGTCCGTAATTAACTAGGTATATAAAACAAAAGGCGGGAATATAATTTGCCTATTTAAGAACAAGTTATATAGCAGATAACTAATCTAGTCTATAAAATCCTGTTTAGACGGGTTATTACGGACCCGTATATTAATCCGTAATAATAACTAATAAAGCCGTAACTAGATTTATATTTACTATAGGCAGGCCCGTATTATATTAGCCCGTAAACCATATAGAACTACTAGTAAGATCTGGGCAAAGTTCTCTCTAAGGATTACGGGTATTTTTCTAAAGAGAATATTATTCGTAACTAACTATAAATTAACTATTAGCTAGTATATTACCTTAAAGTAGTACTTGTACTATATAGGTATCTTATCCCAGATAATTAGGTCTATAGATTATAAGAGTACCCTGAGCCGGCTCGTCTTAGTAATTATATTTACGGATAACTTATTAAGCTTAAGCAGGATCCGGAACTAGAAGTAAAAGATATATTTATCCGGAAAAAAAAAAGCCGTAATATCCATTAATACCATATATAGGACTACCTTATCTTAGTTATAGTAATAGTAGTAGAGGATCTTATAGAGAAATATCTTACTAGTCTTGCCCGGGCCCTATAAATAGAAGTGAGCTATCTGCAAATTATTTATAATTACTATTATAATTATCTAGAAGTAAGAGTACTAGTTCATATTTAGCTAGGCTTGTATTACGGTTACTAGTAATATCTTACGGGTGCAATTAACCTATAGATTAGTTATATAGTAGCTTATAGTCTAGTTAAAGGTATTCTTAGGCAAGGTAATATCCGCAAGTATTTGCTAGAGATTTATAAGGCCAAGACCGAGCAAGAAGAGGCTATAATTATAGTAAGAGTTAATTAAGGATAGCGGGAAGTTAATTAATGAGTTATAGGTAAGCTTACGGGCCAAGTTATTATAGAAATATTCCTTATACTAGTTTCAGACCACTTATATATTTGTAATTAGTTACTAGTAAATATTTATAAGAAAGAACGTCCGTAAACCATAGCCGGTTATTAACCGGATTATCTTATTAAAGTACTAGAACTACTCCTAATTATTCTTTACTAAGCTACAGGTAATATAGGTAGTATAGTATATAGGATAACAGATGCCCTTAACTAAGTAGAGCTCATTAAAGGATTACGGACCATATATAACTATTAGTAAGAGCTATAAATAGAACCGCTTACCCGAAACTAGGCTATAGTAGTAAATATAGCTAATACTATACTTTTGCTTATGGCGCTTCTATATCCGGGTCTTAGTAACTCATATAAAGTACTATAGGGACTCGTAATAAAGGTACTAGCGGCCGTTCTTATATATTATATTATATTTAAAGAAAGCTATTAAGATTAAATAGGTATTTATAGCCCGGTCCGTAACTTGCTCGGGTAAGAGGTTAGCTATAAAGCAGATTATATACTATTTAGGGAAATAGATTACGAGATATTAAACTAGGAGAAACTTCTGGTATATTAGGTACTTGAATAGATACTAGAAAGCCTTTATAGGGCCTATATACTAAGCCTGGAAATACTAGGTAATCTTATTATTTATTCCCGAAATAATTATAATTATATAGTTCGTTTCTTTATAGATATACTTATAGATATATTTAATTATTTATACGGATATATAAACCTTAATATTAATATATGAGCAGAATTTCTAAAGAAGGTATGAGTTATATGGAATAACCTAGCGGTTATTACGGATAACTTCCTGGTCTAGAAAGCCTGGTTTATAGATTATAAATATACGGCTATTATTCTGGTACTAGTACTTGGGATACTTATTCTTATGGATAATTATTATAGCCATAAATGTCTTAGGGAACCTCTTCTAGTATATAAGCGGGGCTATAGGTATATTATAGATTATATATGAGGCTTTCGGATTATTATTAAGGCTATATGGCCCGTGAAATATCTGACTAGTAACTATGGCCATAAGTTTACTAGTAGGGTCCTATAACGGGTCTAGAAGCTTGGTATAAACTACCTTATTAACTAAATCAGGGATTAAGAAGATAGTATCTCTTCTAAGAAATAAGAGCAGGTATATATACGAGAGGCTATACTTCTAGTACTTAATTATATAAATATAGCCTATATATTATCCGAAAACGTGGTTTTTAAGGTCTATAAGGAGCTCTCTTATTTTTAGAATAAAGACCTAATAAAGGAGATCCGGATAATTAATTACTTATTACTTATTTAAAAGGTAATCTATAATCTCAGGCTAGTATAGGTTAGTTATAAAAATAATAAAGAAGCTTGGCTTATTAAAGTACTATATAATAGCTATTGAGTTTTAAAAGAGCTACTATATAAAGTAATTACTACCCGTAAAGCTAAACGGGAGGATAAAGTAATAGCTAATATTACTTATATAAATATTCTTATAAATTAGAGTATTTATAAGATTCATATAAATATTTATACGGATATTCTACTAGTATAAGCGGAGCTAGTTAAGCAAGGTTATCTTATAGGTAATATATATATTAATAATATATTATTAGAAGAGGCAACTAGTATAAAAGAGCGGGAAGAAGGCTAGACGAATATAAAGATAGTATTAGTAAAAGGCCCGCTACTTGAGCCGTATTTACTAGCAGGTCCCGGTATAGTCCTATAACTATAACTCGTAGTACTAGCCCGGGTTATTATATGGGAAAAGCAAGATATAATAAAGTAATATATATACTATATAAATAATATTAATTATATATATCTGCGAATACTTACAGCCTGCCTTATGAACTATTAGTACCAGATTATAGCGGCTTATATCCATATACTTATCCGGGATTAGGATAGTAACCTTATTACTTATAGGAAGGTTCTTATAATAATAATCCGTACCCGACTCGAGAATTAAGTATATCTATAGGTTAAGTAAGACCCGGAAATTAGTTTACTAGCTTGCAAGATACTTATGGGCCGTCTTATAAACTATAATAAACGGATTATAGTCCGTAAGTATATCCGTAAACTATAAAAGAACCATATAATCTAAGTAAGGGAAGTTAGTAGCCTGTATATTAGTTATAAAGAGCGGGTTATAGAAGAAAAGCTATATAAAGAAGGGTTTAGTATATATAGTAGGCTATAGCAGGCCTTAGAAATAGAAGAGCTTACCGTGAATCTAAAAGTATTAGATCCTATAAGAGAAGTTAATCCGGGCGTCTTTCTTATAACTAATTAATATAAAGGCAAAAGTATAATTATATATCCGGATATTTATCCGGAAGGCCCGGTAAAGCGGGTTATTACTTATAAAGAGATAAGAGAGATATAGAGAAGGCTTGTGAATTAGAGGAAGTATTATATTGCCCTTTTTATAATAGGCCTTAAAACAATTATTTATATGGCTAAAATAGAGGGCTCCGCAAGTTATATAGTAACCTATAAGCAGACCGGTTATATGTACGGGAGCTGGCCAGAAGCGGGAGAGAAAGGCAGGAGGCCATATAAGAGATAGGTCGGTAGGAGGGTTCTCTATAATATGAACGGGGGTCGCAACGGACGGTTAATAGATCTATTACTAGTATTATAGGGCTAGCTTGTCTATAGAAACGTCCGTAACCGACCGTCGTTATTGCCAGGAGGTAAGGAGGGTATTCGGATCGAGTTCTTATAAGGTAAAGTATTACTAGATATAATTAGTAGTATTTCGGGCCTATTAACTAGTTAATTAAGCCAGAAAAGGGGGAGGATATAAACTCGATAGTAAGAGCAAGTCTTATATGACTTAGCCCGCTCCGTAATAAAGTCAGAAACAGGCCGGTTCTGCTTATAGGAAGTATAAAAGCGGGGAGGATCTATAGTAATAAAGAGAAAAAGGAGAGGAGAGTAATGTGAGGTCAGGAATTTTTTTTAGTACTTTTTACGGGGCCCTAGCTTAAGATTTCCTCCCGAGCTTTAAAAAATCGTAGTAAAAGCCTCTCGCATTCCAGAATTACTAAAATAGAGAGAAAGGTACTTGAGCTACTTCTCTCTAATCCCTAGCTAAGTGCTAAGGATTTGGACATAATCGTATTCTAATATGCGATTTCCCAGAACGGGGCAATTCTGGTATTCCTTACGTGACCCGTTTTTTTTTTAAGAAGCCCCGTAAGCTAACCGCTTAGGGTGGCCTAAATATAGGATAATATAGAGAAAAAGATTAAGACCCTTTACAAATCAGGTATAAAGGCAATAATATAAGTGCGATTTTCTAGTAGAAGGAGTTTAGGGTATCTAGGAGTAGCTATGAAATATAACTCATAAAAAATTATAAGAGATATTAAGATATATACAGATTTTAAGATACTTCAAGTCAAAGTACCTATTATTTTTTTCGGTATACCGGGATTTTCGGTATACAGGAATGGACGTTAGGCGGGACATTATATAAGCATTCAAAAGTGTTTGTTTCCCCGGGCTTTGAAAAGTTAAAGTAATAACCTGGGACGTTTGCCGACTAGTCTCTATATATTTCTTTCTCCGGATAATGCCCTCTTATCCTTATAGAAACATGCCTGGCCTAATAGGGAATCTCGTCTCTAAAAAAAGGTCAAGGTAATTACTATAATTTACTAATAGGTTAACCGGGGTGAAACTTACTAGAGCTATTATACTCTTGCGATTCTCTATAAATATTTCGATTTCTGGAATAACGCTCTCTATATTTGATTTCATAGCCTCTACTGGCTCGTTCTTAACTATTTGCTATACTACTATATCTAGCCTCTTGCAAATCTTTAGTATATCTAGAAATATATTAAGAATATAACAAATAAATATATTAAATATAGTATTTATAGTATCTAAATAATATCTATTAAGCTATTAGCTAATAATATTTATTTAAATAGAAAATACCTCTATAGTACTTATAGCTTTAGTACTAATAAGGAAGTAAATACCAAATCCTATTAGACTAGATAGTATTAAAAGCCTCTTTCTAGTATAGTTCTATTTATATAAACGAATTCTCCGTTATACTTATTTAGTATTACTAGCCAAATCCCAATTATTAATATATAATTATTTAAGGAAATAGTCTATAGTATATTTGGTATTTTTAATATTATATTTCTTTTCTAATTACCTTATTAAATTTTGCTTTATATCTTATATAATATAAAAATAGAACTAATATTATAGAACCCGGTTAAGTAAGATATATATATAATCTAAGCTTAATTACTTATTAAGAATAGCAAGGTACTATAATATCTTTATAAAATAATTAATAACTAACTTATTATATAAAGATACTAGAAAAGTTAATATATATTATATATTTTTCTAGTAAGATAAATAGTTTTATAAGAAAGTAGTAATATTATTATAAATTAAATAATTGCCCGTTTATATTACTATTATTATATTTTTCAAACCTAAGATTAAGCCAAATATTAATAGTATAATTAGTAAAGTATAGTTATACCTCGAGTAATAGTCTAGAGTTACTAGGTAATTCTATTATATTATACTAGGTTATGATTTCATAATGTCCTTATCTTATTTAGAATAAATAGGAACTAGTATTTATCCGGGTTATTTATAGTTAGGACTAGATTATCCTAGAGAAATAAGGCTAGAATAAGAGATATATATATTTGCTAGGAAAGTATAAGGTAAATAGATCTCATATTTATTAGTACGTGACTATATTAAAAAGAAATTCTAGATTTTATTAAATATATTAATATTTAGAAACAAGTTAGTATATAATATAAAATAATAATAAAATAAACTAAAATATTATATTACTTATCTTAAAGAGCCTATATAGTTAGATCTAGATAAAGAGAACTTCTATATCTCTTTTACTAAGCTAGTATAAAAGAGAAACTATAATAAAACAAAAACCTATATAAAGTATACTAGAGTATAAAACGTAACTTAATAGTAAAATAATAAATTAAAAGTATAAATAGTAAAGTATTAATAGTATATAGTATATAAAAGCTTAATTAATTAAATATTTATAAAGAATTATTTTCTAGAACTATAGAAAAACTAGCTTTCCTATATAATTTCTATAAGTTATATATAAAAGGCCGCGACCTTTATTATATAACCTAAACCTTAAAACTACTAAAATAATATGATTTTTAAAAAGTATAGCCTGCTATATTATATTCGATTCCCTATTTATTTATACTTATTTCCTAAGTACTAAAAAATAATAGAAAAATCCTATTTAGAATTCGAAATAATAAAATAATTAGGATTCTCTTCTATTAGCTAATTTAATTTCTTTTTTATATATCTAAAATAAGACTTATTATCTTTAAATAGTCTTATTTCATATTTCCGAACTTACTTAAAAATAATCTAAATTCGCTTAATTATATTCTTATACTAAATCCAATATAGTTTTCTATATTAATTAGTATTTGCCTTTAACTATTACTTGATTTCTGCCTTTATTACTAGATATTAAAAAGGCTTATTATAGTAAATTATATTATAAATTATACTAATATATTCTAAATAAATAATTTCTTTAAATTTTGTATTATCTATAGTATTCTTAAATTAATCTTTAATAGGAGGGGAAAGCTTTAGGTAAAAGGCTTTAATAACCTTATAAGAGACTTTATTTTCGTATATTCTATTCTTAATAGTAACTAGACTAATTAGAATTATAGTAAAAGACCTATTAAGTAGTAAATTATTATTAAGCTATTCTTTAACTTATATATTATTCGAGAATTATTATTTGCCTATAATTCTAGACTTATAGATTACCTAGCTAAAAGCATTTATTTATTTAGTTAAATAGACTATATTCGGAATCTTTTTTCCTATTACTTTTAATAAATACTTGCCTATTTCCTTAGCTACTTCTGGCTCAAATTTATTAGAAATAGAAAAGTAATTAATGTCTTTAAAAAATTTCTTACTAAAAATAGTAGTCTTTTTATAGTTTATAAGAAAAATATAGCTAATATTCCGATATTCTTTACTAAGATAGAATTTATTACTTAAAGCTTTAGTAATAGCCAGATCTTTAGTATTACCTTTATACTAATTATAATTAATATTTCTAGAAGTATAATATTAGGCTAGCTAAAAATAAATAACTAGATAAATAGGGCACTTATTTAATACCTCGTAAAATCCGAGCTATATTAATAGATCTATTATTAATAATTAAGAGGCTAAGGTAAAATAACTATTATCTAGATCTCTATACTTTAATATATATATTTTTTTTTTAGAAATAAAACTATAGTATCTCTATTTCTTTTATTAAGAGCTCTCAAATACTAAGCTTCTTAATCTATTTCAGGTAATTCTTCTTATAAATATAGCTATTTATATCTAAATTAATAATACCAGACTCAGAAATAGGAACTATAATATTAAATTAAAGCTATAGATTTGGGTAAAATTAATTAGAAATACGGCACTTATATTTATATTTCTTAATTTCCTAGATCTTAAAAAAGAAATCCCGTATTTCCTTATTTACCTAAATAATAGAGATATACTTCTTGCTTTTAGTAACTTTATAAATCTTAGTAACTAGCTTTAAAGTATTCTTAATATCTCATATATTAGTAAGCTACTAAATATATATTATATAGGGAGCTTTAAGGAATTTATTATTAACTCTATAGTATTCTTACTTATAAATAGGTCTTAAAATACTACTATATACTTCTTTAAAAATATACTTATTCTACTAAGCAAGTATTAACTTCTATTTAGTTAGTATCTTATAGTTATACTAAATGTCTTTTTTAAGTTCTTTGGACTTAATATTCTTAATCTTCTGCTTCTTAGTTCTAGATATAAATACGAGAGTCTTTCTAAATAATATCTTTCTCTTTAGAGTAAAGAATTCCTCCTTACTTAACTCTTTATTTTCCTCTATTTTACTAGTCTTATACTTGAACTAGTACTCAGATTTTTACTATTTTTTAGGAGTCTTAAGCTTAGCTTACTTTTCTTTCTTACTAGGTTCTTCTTATCCTATCTTACTAGTTATTTTCTTACTAAGCTATATTAAATTAGCTTTATTCTTATTAGCTAGATCTAATTAAGTTAAAGCTAAAATTATAATAAAGGCTTATTCTTTAGGCTTATTTCGGAAAGCAGGAAAAGACTTATTACTATAAACTTTCTTAATTAGGATTCCGGAAGTATTAAAGATATACTATCTAGCTTTAAAGTTATTAGCTAATAGTAACTTAAAAACTAATTCTTTAGGTTCTAAAATAGCTTTAGTATACTTAAGTACCTTAATAATATCTAATTTAGTAAATATATTAATATTCTAATACTTTTTATTCTTAATATACTCTAAAATAGCTTTATTAATTAACTAAATAGCTTTATATACTAAAGCTTTTA